ATTTTTTTTTTTTTTTTATGTTTGGCCTAGGATTTAAAATTTGTGTTTGACTGAAGGGTACACTTCCATTTTTTATTCAACTTCAACATTTCAATGTAGATAATATCAAAATTAACAAATAAATGAATAACAAATTCACAACACTATTGTTGCCCTTATTTTTTTCTCATCCTAATCGCTAGCCAGCCCGACGACAGCGGCCTATCCTGAATTATCAGGTAAAACACAAGAAACGGGAAGAAGGTTTTACATATAAGACTCCAAAAAATTACTTAAGGTCGAAAATTGATAGAAGTGAAAGAATAAGATTACCTCAGAGAAGCTAGAATCAACGAACCACAAATGAATTTCACCGAATTTGTTGGTTGTTGTGCAGCCCTTCTTGTAGAACCACTCTTCTTGCAACCCCTCTCTTCTCGCAAGTCACAAGTGAGCAGACAATAGGGTTAGGTTTTATTTATATGCGGTAATTTGTAATTATAATGAGTTGAGAAGAGAAAATTAGAACAATTACACACAATTTTCCTTCCCCTCCAAATTCCTCCAAAATTGGAGGGGAGCCACTTTCCGCCGAGGAGGGAATTTGAGGGAAAACTTTCACCTCCATTCCATGCAAAAAATTGAACCAAACAGCATAAAAGTAATAAATTTCCTCACCTCCCTTCCCCTCCCCTCAGTTTTCCTCGAACCAAACACTACGTAAAAAATTACTTCTAATCGTCCGCTCCCAGTTTGGTAAAATCTGAGGGTCTCGTTTACTTTTCACGATGGAATAGGATGTGGTCGGATAACTCTTCTTATTCAATATTTACAAACATGTTGGGATGAAATAATATCTTATGTGTCATGTGGGTCCCACCAGGTTGGGATCAACTGGCCGATTGTTGTGTCCCATCTTGAAGGTGAGACATTTTAATCACACCTTCGAATAAGACCTTTTTGTCCAAATTTTCACATGTGATGTCATTTGTACCATTGCTACTCCATCTAATTATAATTTAAGGCCATACGAATTGGTTGGACTGTCATTCTTTATCCTCACCGAGCCCTAATTTTCCATCATATGCGTGCGCGTCGAATGTGTAAGTTCATAGTTTTTTCGCATTTCAGGTTGAAATATTCGTCGAATTTATTTTTGTAGCTTTCTTTTTAGTTACAGTATAAGATTTGTGTCTCCTGTGGGAAGGGCTCGTCAGCTGTTGTAAATACATCCGCCTCTTATATCGATTATACGCACAAATGTCGTGAATGCTTGTGTTTGTGTCGATATAGTGTTAATTGAGCCCCTAAAACTGCTTTTCATTGAACCCCTAAAACTGCTTCTGTAACACCCCACCTTACTAGATAAGTCAGAGTAGCGCATTTGTTCGCAAAGTCTT